AATCAACGAAAAAGTATCTCTATGAATGGGAGATGAACTAAGAATGTAAAACGATGAACTAAGGTTTTATATGATTTAAATTGCAAGTTATCTTGTTTAATATAAGTTATTTGATACAACCTTTTAATACCACTTTCCCACATGAAAGAAGCTACTTTTCGATGGTCGCTGATGTGTAAGTAAGACCATTGTTTTAAAAAATTGATTCAATCAAAATTTTGATTTTATCGATCTAGATGAAACAGATTTGAAAGAAAAAAAGATATATATTATGATGAGATTGAAATTTTTAAGTCCTAGAGAATATGGCAGATTTTTAGGAAAGCTGTTTTTTACAAACTACTAGGTAGGTGATTTTGCATGTATGAAGAAACTGAAAAGTGACTGCAGATGAATTAATGAATAACTAGTTTTACCAAATAAGAAATTTAGTAAAGATTAGTTAAAGATGCTTCTTTAATTACTTTTGACCATTGTAAAAGCAATCCCAAATGCACCCTTTGTCCCAGATGGGTAAAGCTGGGCAGTGTAGTGAGTTATTCTGCAGGAGAGTTCCATAACCATTTCGATATAAAGCTAGAGCTCTTTTGATTTGATATGGTTTTTGTGCATTCCTAATGGTAGCTGTGAAGTGTGGTTATTATTTTTATTTACTATTGCGATCATAAACTTTTAGTTTCTTCTGATTGTCGAATTTATAGGTGTATTTGGTAGCCAAGTTCCTAGCCAAACATTTGGAAACTCTACCGTAAGTGGTTTCAATAACAGTGGCATAACAAATGCTGGAAGCAATCTTCTTTCCTCTCCAGCGATCCCAACAAAGTTCCCCTCAACAGATGCTGGTGGACAAATTCTGTCAAATGCCCAATTGGTGTAAGCTTGTTGTAGTCATTTTTTATTATTATTATATATTTTTTTTTGTACTAGAAATGGAACTTTTCATGGAAGGAATGAAAATATATTAATGCTCAAGACGAACTCCACTAGGGAGGGATGAAAGAGAAGGAAGAGGAAACAATAATAAAAGAAAAAAAAAAAAAAAGCAACCAACCAAAATGCTGAAAGTAAAGCTTTAACTGCGAACATCCTAAAAAGCTAGACTTAGAAGCCAAAGAAAACCCAAAAAGAAGAAACAAAGGCTGAGAGCATCCATGAATCCAGCAAAATAATAAAAAAAAAAAAGTTGAGAAGCTTCCAAAGACGGAAGTTGAAGCGAGCTAACTTAAACCCAATGAATCAAGCAATCATTTGACTGCCAAAAGTAAATCTCCAGCAGAACCACCAACTTTGATGAGGCAATAAATTTGAAGAGGCAAGCATGAGTTCACCATTAAAAGCCTCTTCAATTGTCACCAATTCTTCATGCAAATCACCTAATAAATTCTTTACTGATACTAACAAAAGAACAATAATTGGTTCAACTCCGAGCCACTCCTCCTCATGCAAAGAGACATGCAAGAAAATACCAATAAATGAGTCGCTTTGCAGACAGAGTGTTGTCATAGTCGTACATTTTTAAACATGCGGTGTCATTACTTTGAAATGCTCATGACAAGCCTTAAGGAAAACCTAAGTCCCATATACATTTTTCGCATGTCTTTGTGGCTTCATCGAACCTTAGGTAAGGTTTACCTTTGCCAACTGAACACAATTCATGTGGAATCTAGTATATTCGGCCATGCATGCCGCCCGTGCATGCAGGTTAAATTGTCTGCGGCCTTAATCGACTTGCCTCTGTATTAGGGCAAGTCATCTGACTTGACCTTGCCTCTACTCGGGGCCAAGGTCTCTCATGTACAATGTCACATCTCATATTCTCATCTTTGTTCCCAGCAGCATTTCATGTCATGATGTCATCCCAAATCCCAAGATTTCATTGGCCATTGTAGCTTATTGAGACATGTCCTCAAGAATGGACCCATGTGTCGTTCATATTATCGAGGTCTCTCGAATATCTATCCATCTTGGTTCCATCGAGGCGGGGACCCTTTCATGTCCATGCTAAATCATCCGTACGGATAGCAAGTGCATATACCAATGTCCAACATGTGGGCGGGGGGCGCAATGTCGGCAAACCTGTGTGTCCGACAGTGTCCTTGAAATACCTATTTCAAAGGAAGTCACTCGTCTCGTAACGCTTGACCTCATTGTGACACACGTATGTGCCACATGGTAGTTCGCTTAGGTCACAGGGCCCAGGGGTGGTGGAGAGTTGACACCATGTCTCCCTCTATAGTATATTTTGAAGCATTTTTTGTCTAACAGGAATAAACATGATTTTGGTGAACAATCATATGGTCTCGTGGAGCGTTTTTCTGGCGTCCGATCAACACCAAATTTGGCGAGCTTTCATCTTTCATATGGATGAACTTAACTCTAGAGCTACATGCCCAAACTCCTTTCGAAACCTTGATTTTTGAGGTTAAGGCCCAGGGTCCTACCCGTCCCTTTATCAAGCCTATCTTTGTCCCTGCTGTCTACTTGTTGCCTCAATCTTTGCTTATGCCTCATCTTGACTTCCATGCACATTTTATATGGTGTGTTGGATGATGCACCGTCCTCCTCGGACACATCATGACACTTGTCTGTCTTAGCCCTCACGTGGCTAAATGGGTGCCATTTGAGGGTCGTCATTTTCTTTGTCTCTATATGAGGGTCGTCGTCTTCTTTGTCTCTATATGAGGGTCACAACCTACTCTATTCATAGTATGGTTGTGACATTCTCCCCCCACTTAAATTAGTCATCATCCTCGATGACTTTTTGAGAGTCTTAATCACACCATGGACTAATCACACTATGGATTGTGACACAGAGCACCTAAATGTACTCTGCATGCAAAGGAGGGGAAGTTTTGTAGCAAGCAAGAGTTTGCTCTATTTTGTGAGGTTTGTATGAGAGAATATTATTAGGTCCTTTAAGAGGGATTGAGAGAGACTCTATTGATGTTTGGTTTTTTGTTAGGTTCTATGTTTCTGTTTGGTTGGTGATGAAGTTGTTTCGTAATTGTTCTTTGGGTCTTATTGTACTTGTCTAGAGCCCTTTTCTTTAGTTTCATTTCCTTTTGTGGCCTTTGTATTTTGGATGCTTTTATATGTTCTTTCATCTTTTTCTCATAGAAGTTCAGTTCTTTATTAAAAAAAAAAAGATTGGAATTGTGGATTAATTTTCAAGAATCCGAGAGAGTGGAGGGATTTCATAGACCTTAATATAAGAAGGAAATAAATCTTGTACAGCTGATACATTTGGAGTTGAAAAGACTTTCTGCTCCTTCTATTGAGTATGGACTTCTAAACCGCAGCTTTCCTTAAAACCAGGCGAATCTTGCTCACGAAATAATAGATCTAAAGGCTTCTTCAATTGGATCTGCAAATGGCAAAGCAGCATTTGTTCCAAAGTTCGTCTAAATCCACAATACTTCGACTTCTATTATAAAAATGTTGTTTAATGGAAAAATTATGTTTTGAATTAATGGAAGGAAAACGGTTGGGAGCATTCTCTTTCCCTAAAATCTATTTACCTTCTAAGAAGCTCAACAAACTCTCTTCCATCAAATTTGAACTAGGGTTATTAATAAAAGCCCTCCTTTATTATTACCAGCCTCTTAGTAGAATTATATTGTTTGGAAATGAAATAGTTGATCCTTTAAAGTTCTTTTTGATATTTGATATTGTTGTTATTGACGTTAATTACTTCTAGCTCACCTCGTCAAGACATGTCCTCGAATGAAAGGTTGGAGGTTCGAATTCCCAATCCCATGGGTTCAAATCCTCAACACCTCTTACCCTCACCTTGTCACCTTGTCTTTTGAGTCGTGTCATCTAGGAGCATGTGTTCCGTATTTGAGTCCGATCTCTTAGAATTTGTTCGCTACAAACCTTTAAGAAGTTCTTAGTCACTAATTGTGGTTGTGCATCATCTTTTCCTCCCCACTGGAAATTTTTGCTCAGTCTCATTCCAACTTCATGTTTGAACATCATTTCTTTCAATTTCATCAAACTGCTATTAGATTCTGATTTATTTTATGAGATTTGTCATCATCTTTTTAGCAATAACAATTAAATTCAAGCAGCTTGACGTTACTAAATTTGTTCACCTAAAAAAGTTCGAAAATTATGTTCTGTTTTTCTCGTCAATTATGCAGAAATAAGTTACAGCAGGAAAATAGTTCTGTGGATGTCAGCATTTGGTTGAAAGAGAAATGGGTTCCTGGAGAGGTATCATGTTTTTCGTTTGTTTTTTGTTTTTGTTCATCATATGTATCGGTATCGTTAACAGTTGTGAAGTCGATATGATGCTGCCATTGATTTCATTTAGAGATCCCCACTCTCACAACCCACCTAAACTCCATGTCGGAGTATTTGGCTCACAAATTGAGTGTAGTTTGTAGCTGAGCTTGTGTTAGAATACAAGTTTGTTAGATGTTACGAGCTATATATAGATCTAAGCTATAAATGTTTAGATTTGCAATAAATGTTTACCCATTTGTTTTAAATTTCTTATAAAAAGATAAAAATGGACAATGTAGACCAGTGGAATCTAGCCTTGTATAATTATTAGTTTTTTAAAAATCTTCTTGAAACTAGACTACATAAGTATACCTCATAAGTTTCTTTTGAAAACCACAAGCCTATATAAAGAACAAAGGAAAACTAGAGTTTATAACATTTTCATTCTACTCTGGCTGCATCCATATGATCTTTTGAGTATTATTAAACTCAGGTTTCTTTGAAAATGTATTCAGATACCAGAAGTGGCACCTCCAGATGCAGTTGTTCAATAGCCCATACTGTTTGAGGACAACAATATATTAGGTATTCGTAGTACATAGGCGAAATTTAAGTGAATGAATTATGATCTTCATCTCACAAACTTCTAAGAGACTGGGGTCTAGTTTTAAAAGAATGCTAAATCTTGCATATGTATTGTAAATTTTTACATTTTTATCTTGAAAAGTGTCATAGCTCAACTTTTGTTTTACATTTTTATTATTGCGTGCTAGCCTCTTGTTTGTTATACCAGTAGATGGAGCCTCTTGTTTGTTATACCAGTAGATGGAGCCTCTTGTTTGTTATACTAGTAGATGGAGCAGCCATGACAATCAAAACGAGGTCTAAGAATGAAGAATGAGGCAGTTGGTAAGCCAAACCAATGGTCTGACTTTTCTAGTTCTAGATACGGAGAATGGCAGACCTGCAACTTACTAGCAGCTGGAGATGTATTTTGAGGGTTTCTGAATTCTTTCAGTCATGTAAGAACAACTTTTTCTATTGTGAATTTTTGTTTGGATTGATAGGGGCGCTATTAAGGTAGATACATCATCTGTTCACGAAAACTCTCATCCGCTTATTTGTGGTTACATTTGAGTCTTTCAAGTTTAGTAGAGTTCGAGCAGAATGCAGCTACTAAATTGATATTTAACACCGTAAATCGAGTTCAATAATTAATTATTTACTCATTTTTAAGTGTTTTTATCATTTTAAAAGATGAATTGTATTGTAGGCTGTGTATACCCTGAGAAGGGCATTGCTTCATCGTTTTCTTCTTTCTTCTCCTCTGCTGCAGAAATGGCTTCCACTTTCATCCCTCTCCTCAACCTCCCCACTCATACTGCCATTAAAGCCACTCTAATCCCTCACTTGTCCGTCCTCAAATCTCGCCACCGTTCCTCTCTCCCTCTTCTCTCCTCAAAACCCGCAAAATCCGTCGCCGTTCGCATGTCCTACAACCCTACTCCCGCCACCGACCGCCTCATCTCTGCCGTTGCCTATACTCTCCCCTTCTTCAACTCCCTCCAGTACGGCCGCTTCCTCTTCACCCAGTACCCGGTCCTCGGCCTCGCCTTCGAGCCGATTCTCCCTATTCTAGGGCTTTATCGCTCGATCCCACACTCGAGCTTCATCGCCTTCTTTGCGCTCTACTTGGGCGTTGTCCGGAACCCTAACTTCAACCGCTACGTGAGGTTCAATTCAATGCAGGCGGTGACTCTGGACGTGCTGCTGGCGGTGCCATTGTTGATACAGAGGATTCTGAGTCCCGGTTCGGGCGGATTAGGGTTCCAGATTATGGTTTGGGGCCATAATGGATTGTTTCTTTTCAGTGTTTTGTGTTTCGTTTACAGTCTCGCTTCTTGCCTTCTGGGTCGGACCCCTCACTTGCCGCTTGTTGCTGATGCTGCTGGCAGGCAGATTTAGGCTTAGGTTTGTTCCTCAACCGTTCTTTCTCATCCTTTCCTCTTTTTATCACCATTTTTTCCTCTGAGAATTTTTGGATTGAAAAGCTTGTAATTCTGAAATTATTGGATTATTCTTTGAAATTATTGGAATTCTGAAACAATGTTGGTCCATACACCTTTAGATGATGCGTGAGAAATGAATTGAGAAGTGTATTTTAGTTGTGCCTTTTCTGATTATGAGTTTCTGCAGCAGCTATACTGAACAGTTTTGCAAAAGGAAAATTTTGGGTAAGAGGCAATTGCAATAGGTTGATCATGGATGATGGATAGCTCTCAAGGTTAGCCCCTTTGGTTAAGGCAAGTTGGGCTTAAGGCATGTAGTCTACCTTACCCATAGGTTAAGTGTTCAAAATTTTAGGCGAGCTTAATAAGAAAAACCTTCGATGTCTTCCGACGTTGGTGTCCTATGCTTGGATTGGAAAAAAGGGTTTACAAAAAGCAAGAAAAAGGGATTGATTAAGGTAGAGTGAAGTCTACTAGATGTATTGAATTGAATTGCTATAAGACAACCCGGGTGGATGTTTCGAAGAATGATTCTAGAACTAGAATTGGATGGAATCCAACATATGAATAATTGTGGGGCAGTGTGCCACGAAACTGAGTTGCAAAGGAGGCAGTAGTGTCATAAATATTAGAGGAAGGTTGATAGATATTGAGGAGAGCAACGAGGATTGGTAATTCATGAAGTGGAAGAGAATGTACTGTTTTCTTATGGATGTTCCTGGCCACTGCAACTTCATGCTTTCTTTTCAGTTTTCACCCCCTTCTTGACTAGGAGCGTAGGGAGAGCCCGTTGCGCCTTGTTTTTGTTTGACCGGCCTATCCTCTTTCGAGAAGCAAGCTCCCTCCGGTTGTCCAGTCCCTGGGCGGCTCTCGGTTTTTGAGCATGTTGGGAGCTCTCTGTTTTTCTGGGAAGTTTTGAATTGAAGAGTTTGTAAGTTAGGGCTGTGGTTTTCCTCCAAAAGTACTGAAATTTTGTTTCCATGTAGAACTGTACTCCTTTAGAAGGTGTAGTAGAGGAATTGAGAAGTGTATTTTGATTGTGCATTTTTTGGTTTCTGAGTTTGAACAAGTTTTTGAAGTATTTGTTCAAGGGATGTTTTAGATAACGAAGATGATGGAAAGAACAACGAGGATGGAGACTTAGTAAGATGATGTGGGTTCTTATTAAGAAAGTTGGATATCAAACTTGGTTAGGTCCACCATCGATTGTGCTCGATTTTTGATACGACACAGCCTTCCATTCTGTGGACAAGATGAAACTGGATATTAGGAAATCCAAGGTAATTTTTTGAACTCCTATGATGGTTATCAACCATAATAAGCACAATTAAACTGTTTCTTTGAGAAACCGTTTTGAAAACTTGAGAGTAACGGTACCAAATATCCAAGATAGAGATCTTACATCGGTTGGAGAGGGAGAATGAAACATTGTTTATAAGGGTGGATGTGAAAATCTCTCTCTAATAGACATGTTTTAAAACCTTGAGGGCTGTCTAAAGAAACATTATTTGCTAGTGATGTGTTTAAGACTGTTATATCTAACAAAAATGGTGTAAGTTGTACTGCTACAGAAATTGTTCGATGGAATCATTAGAGATATTAGTGAGAATGTAATACAATTCGTAAGGATTTGTAAGAAAATATTTGCATTTTTTTCGAGATCATGCTTTCTAGAATGAAAACGAGAATTGAATTAGTTTTTTTTTTTCTTTTACACGTGATATTTCATCATTTTTGTCACATTTACATGAAATCCCAATCTCGAGTGAAATGCAAGGTAGGGATGACGGCTAGTAGAGTTATTGCCTTTCAAATCTTCTTTTTAGAGATGTGAAAGTTCTTTTATAAGTTTGAAGCTTAAGATCGACATCGCTCAGGCAATCCATTCTATTTTGGTAATTGAAACCCTTGTTCGCCTTCGATGATCATACGTAGTAGTACTCTGACTGTCCATCCAATTTGGTGGAGACAAAAAAAAATAAAAAAAAATATTTAAAAGTAAATTAAATAATATTATCGATTTTTTCTTTTAAAAATAATTATACCATATTATTTGAAGTATAAATTTTTTAATATATATAAATAGTCAGAAAAAATGAAAATCCTGAATTTAGAGGAGAAAACACAAGGGAATGGTATCGTCCACAGAATAGCCCTTAGCGATCGATGAATTCCACATAATCCCAAACAAACGAAGGAGTGCCACTCATCCCACGTCACTCCCCACACCATTTCCCAAGAGCCCTCCCTAACGTCCTCAAACTGCTAACACAGATACCAAGGCTGCAGAAAAAGAGCCAAAAAGCAGTAAAAGAGATGCTGAGCACAACAGGCCCAGGGGCGTCTCATTCACTCATTGTTGCTTCTTCCACAAACGCATCCAAATCCTTTGCCAATTTGAACCACAACATACCCCGATTCTTGGGTTTCAGGCAGTTTTCCCCAGATTGTTCCTGTTCTGGGTCTGTGAGTTTTGGATGGAATAGTGGCAGAAAGAGGAAGTTGAACAGGTCTAGAATGGAGGGTTTTGCTATTCGTGCTTCGGCTCAGCCACTCAAGAACGCCGATGAACTCATTGATTCTGTTGAGACCTTCATTTTCGATTGCGATGGTGAGTTCTTCTCCCATTTCCCCTCGACTTGTTGCATGCAAAATATCCAACTCGTTTGATTGTTCTCAATGGGTCTCTGCTTTTCTATTGCTTAAATGGAGTTTGTTGAGTTCATAGGCTGTAGTTGATGTTTTTGAAGAACATATTGCAAACTTTATAAACAGTTTATTATGTTTATTTTGTTCAAAAAAAGATTAAACGTTGCAGAGATGATATGAAATTGTAAAAGGGGGAAATATAGAAGATAATGTATTAGTTGATACTCTTTGACTTCCTGTCAAGCCTGTAGTTGGAAGGGGGAAACTGAGTACCGATAATTTCTTCCTCTTTTCTTTTCCCTTGTTTTTGTGGTCAATATTTTTAAGGTGTCCAATGATTTACCTGCAGGGGTTATATGGAAAGGAGACAAACTTATAGATGGAGTTCCAGAAACTCTTGATATGCTTCGATCAAAGGTATAAAAGTAGATCGTCCAAACTGCTTTTCGAATCCTATGGCCTTAAGAGCGATGGTGATGAGGGAAAACTAACAGGAAGTTGTATACACGAGTGAAAATGATACAAAAATCTGTAGTTTCGTTCGGTTGTTGGATAGTCTTTCCTTTTTTCTTACATTTTGTAACACCCCAAGCTCACCGTTAGCATATATAGTCCTCTCTTTCGGGCTTTCCCTTTCGGGTTTCGCCTCAAGGTTTTTAAAAACGTCTGCTAGGGAGAGGTTTCCACACCCTTATAAAGGGTATTCCATTCTCCTCCCCAACCAAGCTGTGATCTCACAATCCACCCCCTTTCAGTGCCCAACGTCCTTACTGGCACATCGCCTCATGTCCACCCCCCTTCGGGCCTCAGCCTCCTTGCTGACTGGAACATCACCCGGTGTCTGGCTCTGATACTATTTGTAATGGCCCATGCCCACTGCTAGTAGATACTGTCCTCTTTGGGCTTTCCCTTTCGGGCTTCTCCTATCTACTTGCGGTTGGCTTGGGCCGTTGCACATTTATTTTTTCCTCTCCTCTCTCTCTTATTATTATTATTTTTTTAATTTCAGGGAAAGCGATTAGTTTTTGTTACCAACAATTCAACAAAGTCCAGGAAGCAGTATGGCAAAAAGTTTGAGACACTTGGTCTCAATGTTACTGAGGTAAATGTTACTTAAAGTTACTAAGTTCGGTCTAAATTCGTCACGCTAACTTAATTCAAGTATTTCAGGAAGAAATTTTCGCATCATCTTTTGCTGCCGCTGCGTATTTGAAATCCATTAATTTCCCAAAAGAAAAGAAGGTAATTGCTTGATTTGGCTATCTTTTATAGTGTTCATGATCTTTTCTTTGTTATTTTAGCTGAAGGTTATTGGAATTAGATCAAATAACGAACTAAAAGCTTGATATTGTCTTATGAACTGCATTTATTGCACTATCTTCTTATTTCTTAAAGTTTTCAATAGTGAATCATAAATTTTGGGCTGGACTTGTGACTTTGTGGCTTTGTGATTTCAGATTTATGTGATTGGCGAGGAGGGCATCTTGAAAGAACTTGAACTCGCTGGATATAAGTACCTTGGTGGACCGGTATTAATGATAAAATTTCTCAATGTTCATGAGCTATGAAATATCTGTGGATATGCAAAAATCACTCCTCATATATTTGTAATCTTTTAATCTTTTAGTAAATTATGTTTCTTATATCCCATAAACTTAGTTTATGTCATTTGCCAAGAGGATGTGCTTAGATGTGAATTTACAGAGTAATATATTATATCTTTCATTTTCTTACAGGATGATGGTGGGAAGAAGATAGAACTAAAGCCAGGCTTTCTGATGGAGCATGATGAGGATGTATATTTCTGATCTTTCTTGACTTGCATACAAATTTATCGTTTATAGTTTCGTATATATGTTCTCAAATAGGAATGAAGATGGAACTTCTCTTAACTACAACCACTTATCAGGAATGTTTCAAAGTTCTATTGTAACAGCCCAAGTCTACCGCTAGCAGATATTGTCTTTTTTGGGCTTTCCTTTTTGGGGTTCCTCTTAAAGTTTTTAAAATGCGTATGCTAGGGAGAGGTTTCCACACCCTTATAAAGAATGTTTCGTTCTTCTCTTCAACCAATGTGGAATCTCACAATCGATCCCCTTCGGGGCCCGGCGTTCCTTGTTGGCACTCGTTCCCTTCTCCAATCGATGTGGCACCCCTAATCCACCCTATTTGGAGCCCAATGTCCTTGCTGACACACCGCCTCGTGTCCACCCCCTTTGAGGCTTAGCCTCGGGCACATCACTTGGTGATTGACTTTGATACCATTTGTAACAACCCAAGCCCACTGCTAGCAGATATTGTCTTCTTTGGGCTTTCCACAAGGTTTTTAAAACGCGTCTTCTAGAGAGAGGTTTCCACACCCTTATAAAGAATGTTTCATTCTCCTCCCCAACCAATGTGGGATCTCACATTTATTCCGATGGAGCTGAAGAGCTCTAGCCTTTGAGTAAAACTTTACTATGCAAAAAAAAATTACAAGCTATGGAGGACGTCTTTCAGAGACTCT